CACCCCGGTCCCTCCCTCTATCTCTCCCTCTTCCTTTACCCTATCTCGTAACTTTCCATTTTTTTTTCACAAAAATCCTACTGGTTTTGAACCAGGGACCTTCTGAACACTAAGCTGATGTCTTACCCCTGAGCCACCAGCGCCTGTGAAATTTATTTTCTTTTATCTTCCTCTTAAGCTACGTCTTCGGTTATTATTTCAGAAAAATCAATTAACTTACTTTCTAAATCACAAAACTATACTTGGTCTCGAACCTTCGAACTCTTGTTCACTACGCCCGTATTTTACCAATACGCCACCAATTCCACGGAAATTTTTTAGCTTTAATCTTCCTCTTATGTTACATTCCGCTATATAATTCCATAAAAATCTCATCACAAAAATACTTCTGTATTCGAACCACCAACCTTGTATTTACTTCGCCGGTGCCTTACTTCTAGGCCACCAGAACATGTTAAATCAAAGGCGATAGTTCACATTGTATACTCTGACCTGAGTCGTATCTAAGTACTTTCAATGGCCTCAATTCGTTTGGAAGAATAGGAAATTGAAAGGCAGTTGTGATAAAGATTCAGACTGAGGTACAAATGATTCTGACAGTGGTCACGACGGAAGCTCCGAAAGTGAAGTCGATGAAGAACCATTATCTTCGTCGACAACCTGGGGACCACCACACCGGCATGACAGGAGAGGTGTGAATAATTTTTCCGGTGGAGCAGTGCGGATCAATGAAGCTCCACACGTAAATAAGGTTTCCGTCCCTCTCTGCGTTTTCGTGCTTTAATTAGCAGGAATTATCCAGCTGCCGGTGGAAGAGACTGAAAGATATTATCACCAGGACCTAGACAGGCTTGAAGACAGACCTTCTCCGCGCCCTGATGTAACCGACTCCGGGATGTTTGTTTCTAGGAATCATAATTCAAATGGGACATAATATAAGGGACAGACTAAAGGACTACTGGTCAACTGCTGAGCAATTCTGCACGCCTTCCTACACCAACACAATGAAACGCGACCGTTTTCTTCACCTTATTTTCATTCACTTTGCAGATAACAATACAGAAACTGACATGAATGCCGATAGTTATGACCAACTATGGAAATTTTTGCATAAAGTACAGTTCTTCCCTTACACATTTTAAGAATCCAAAATAATATTTAAATCTACTGGCCACTTCCCACAAAGTTCACTTGCTCATGGACTATGTTATCGCAGTCCGTTACTCGTAGGTGATATCCGCTAATTCGCCTATGGCGAGCGAGGTAGTACGCGAGACCAGTACTCATATATATATGTATCAACTGTTATCCTAACTCTTTCAATGTATACGACATTGAATCGTGATCATTCCACAAACTACAGCTTCTACATTAAATTATGCTCGTTTGCTTTCATGGAGTAAGTGTATTATAGCTGGTCACGAAAAAATAGTATTGTACAAGTATATAACTAATAACATTCACGAGGACATTATGCAACGGCGTCTTTTAGGCCGTTGAGCCGTGAGAATGTGCATTTTGTATTTAGCGTTTCGGAGATTGTCTCCATCATCAACGATGGTCAGCACTGGGACGGTAGCATACTTGTGGATAAACTTTCAACGTATAGCCGTGTCACTCATCTCATTAACCCTGATGATGGAGAGACGGATAATGTCCGACGCGTTGGAGTTCAGCTCACCAGAGAGGGCTTCAATGCGCATTTATTTTATACTTAATAAAGGCGTCAACCAATAACGGACCTTAGACGTTACGAAGCTACTCGAAAAGAAATAGGAATCACAAAGATGAAAGCAGCAATGCAATTTATAAAATTAAATGTATAAAATAATTAAAAAATGGTCGAAAACTGAATCCTGAACATGCTCTATCAACTCAATAAGGACAAAATATGCAGAGACATCACGTCGAAAAACTAAACACTCTTACAGCGTGTGACAAAAACAGGTAACAACTTATCCAAGAGACTGGAGATAGCAAATAACTATATCATACAAAGCCTTCCTCTTCCCCTGCTCAAACACTGGGATCATTGGTTCGAATCCCACTTGAGGCATGGATGTTTGTGTGCATTTATTCTGTGTCTGTGCTATCCTGTGTGCAGGTAGCGGCCTTACGACTGGCCGATCCCCGCCCGAGGAGTCCTAGCGACTGTGTAAAAGACCGAGAAACCGAAAAAGCTGCGAAGGTCCAAGAAAGGGCTGTAGAGCCATAAATAGATAGATAGATAGATAGATAGATAGATAGATAGATAGATAGATAGATAGATAGATAGATAGATAGATAGATAGATAGAAAGAACAGGATGTCCTTGCTAGTGTCAGTTAAATTTAGAATGGAAAACGAATGATAACAAGGGAAGATCACACGACGTGCACTTTGTGAACATTGCCTAAGTTTGTAAGACTGAACTAATAATTAACGAAAGAAGATAATCATAAATTAAAAAATAAATATCTTTGTAGCCCAAAGGTAACTACTCTGAATTCCTAGGTGTTTAAAATATCATAGCTTGCGTTTGATGCTAGGTTTATGCAGGACAACACTTTTGTGTCATGTTTCCCCTTGATTGTTCCATGTTCCCTCCACTCTGCTTAGAGAATTCTCTGTCATTCAATTTAAGATGTATCAGTATCCATAACAGCACTTGAGCTTAAATCGGTCAGTGGGTTGATGCGCTAATCGATGGATATACAAATCAACCCTTATAATTATAAATAATAACTGAAGAAGATAAAGTTAACATCAAACAATGAGCCATTAAGTCGTTATCGACTTCATATCTCATAAAATAATGCCAGTCAGTTTGCCTTCAGTATCACTTGGCCACTGTGTTCAGACTTCCAAATTGACGTTAACAACCTCCATTCAACAAGGCAATGAATTAAACGTCGCATTTATATGATATCCGTCATAATTGACATATGTAGTCACACGCCTAAACACACATTCATTCACTCACTTGCTCAGTTCAGTCACCGGCTCTACCGACTTCCACCGTGACATGATGGTGTTAGTGCTAACATCCAGCCCGTCACTAAGTGAGGACCCCTCAATGGGTCTCATGTTTCAGGGTTCTATAGCGACCCTCACTGCGTGCATCTCAAGCCGGGCACTGGGCACCTTAGCGCCACCTTCGAGATCTACCTCAACAGCTGCGGTATGTCCTCATCGGCGAATCACAATGCAGCGGGGGCGTACGGGGCGCCTACCCCCAGCGGAAGTTATGTGGAGAACACCATCATAATCCAGTACGACCCATACGTGCAGGAAGTTTGGGATCAAGCCCGGAAGCTGCGTTGCACATGGTAAGCATCAACTCCATGTGCTCCATCTACCCTTCTATTCTTACGGCATTCTCAAACGTTGCCTGTCTTATGCTCAATTTATGCTTCAATATCTTACGGTATATCATACAAATAACTACCCTCATAATGAAAAGTTCCGCCATTTGGGATATAACGCTTTATAGCCCGTTGAATGTCAACTGAAGTTTCGCAGGACAGTGTCGTTTCCATCTTAAGGGTCATAGAACGAACAAAGCAAGAAACCAGCGTGAGACAGGTAACAAGCAGAAGCCGAGCCGAAACGACCCCCCCCCCCGAATTGATGGTTGAATTCAACAGACTACATGGCTCTATATCCCATAAGGTAGAGCTCTTCATAACCACCGCTGTGAAGAACTCAGTCTCAACATGTGCTCGTAATATTCTTCAAATGTTATCATGTTTTTATTCGTGTATTCTTATTTATTGTGCATTAGAGTTTATAGAATATTTAAACAGAGTGGTAACAATTGTTAATGCAAATGTAACAGAGAAATTACAATTACATATGTTTACTTTGAAGTAGGACACCGAAGCCAATATGATAGGTATAACGAAGAGAGAAGTGAAATGGTGAACTAGGCCGAACAATATTTCATATCACAATTTAACTACAGTTAAATGGCCCGTAGGTAGAAATTAATTTCAATTCTGGAGCCCATCCTCCATTTAAAACTCTCATTTCGGTCCATCTGCTGTGAAACACTGGGTTACATTCAATATAGATCGGGCATTGAAGTAACAGTCCACAGACTGAATTCCTGGATTCCACTCAGCAGCTCGTTAGAACCTCATGCACTTCCAATTCCATCTAACGGTGGCATGGTGTGGTTGGAATAAACGTCATGTCTCTTCAAGTATATACCCCCCCACCCACTGTGGCATCTCAATAAAAATATTATTGCTGTTCTTGGAGCCCCATTTTGTATAAGTAGCTCTACACATTCGGAGAATATCTATATAAGGTTACTTATTCAAAGCGGCGAGTAAAGATCTCCTACCTACGAGAGGTGGTCACGTGGGAGCACAAATTTGGTATATTCTTGTCTCCTCCGATAGGTCACACAAACACTTAATATGGTTATTTTTCTGTCAGTCCCACACTTCGGCTGGATATGAGACTCTCAACGATCATATACGCTCCCCGCTGACACTCTTCAGTATGAATCTTGGTGGGAGGAATGACTTTCCTTGATGAGATTGATGGGATTGTATTTCTTCTACGCGTGAGCCCAAGCTTTGATCACTTTGAGAAGTACTTCAATAGATTGGAAACACTAACACGGAATATTTTTTAGGTATGATTTCTACGAGAAGGCGGTGACATTCCGGCCATTCCAAGTTGACATGCTGCATGCGGTCACGGCCAACTTTCTGGGCGACAACTTGCAGTGCTGGATGCAGATCCAGGTCGGTAAGGGCCCGTGGGCATCGGAAGTGTCCGGCATTGTGAAGATAGGACAGACCATGACGATGGTGCTAGCCATCAAGGATGATGAGAGCAAGTTCGACATGCTGGTGCGTAACTGCGTGGCGCACGACGGCAAGAGGGCGCCTATTCAACTGGTGGATCAGTATGGCTGCGTTGTGCGTCCCAAAATCATGAGCAAGTTCCAAAAGATCAAGAACTTTGGCCCATCCGCATCCGTGGTGTCTTTCGCCTACTTCCAAGCATTCAAATTCCCAGATTCCATGAACGTCCACTTCCAGTGTGTGATTCAAGTGTGCAGGTACCACTGCCCTGAGCCCAAGTGTGGAGGGGCGGGTTTCGGGGGTGAATACGGGCCTCCAGCCCTCGGTCTGGGTGGTCTGGGTGGTCTCGGCGGTCTCCACGGCCCCGGACTGGGTGGGGAGTACGGAGCCCCAGCCGCATCCCTTGAGGGCGGTGCGCACTCTGAGTACGGCGCTCCACCTCTAAGCGAATACGGCACACCAGCAGCATTCCCCGATCCTCGCCACCCATCAGGTCCATCAGGAGCTTTCTCAGAACCCAAACCTGATGTAATACCTGCCCCCCAAGCACAACAGAGCTCCTCGACCTCGAACCCTCCAAATCCATCCTCACCTGCCCCACACCATCCTTCATCTGGCAGCGCCAACAATGACATCCACCTTCCACCCCCACCACTACCAGGCCACCAGAACTCTTACATCACAGTGAAGAGAAAGGGTGGCGTTGTGGACGAGATTGAGGGCAACCTGGCGACACTGGGTGGACGACCCCGCTCTGTAGAGGTAGAGCTGCAGGGCGCCAGGAGGCGGAGGAGCACCGGGACGTTTGTGGTTACTCGCATTTACAAGCGGGAAGCCCAGGAAATGACGGATGTCAACACAAGCCGCATAATCCAGGTTGTTGCACCTGGAGATGTTAACTTTGCACTCAATGGCGCATCTAGCAACGAGACGGTGGTGATTCAGTCCACAAGTAACTCGGCACCCGACTCAGAGCACATCTGCATGTCTGTGCCCAGCTTCGTGGGCGGCCTTGTCATGCTGCTGTTGGTGCTTGTTGTTGCATGTCTAGTCGCTGCATTCCTCTTTGTCAGGGTGAGAGCCATCGACCGGAAGGGAGCCACCACGACATTCGTACCTCATGGGTATGACAATTCAGAATTCGTCAAAGTTGCCAACTGAATGAAAGGACTTCAGATACATGATTTGGATAGACGGCTTGATGTAAACCAGATTTTATTCCAATTCATACAGTCATCTAAAAAATCCTTTACTGATTTCAACAGTCAGTGAAGCCAAGAATGACTGCTGTCACAAAATGTGCATGTATCAAACAGCTTATCCATCCAGCAAGTGCTCATTGGTTTGGCTGTGTCAATCAATGTAACAGTGCAAGTTTTCCTGATGTTACGTAAGTGCGATTTCTGTGGCTTCCAAAAAGTTTTCAGGGAATATCACTAATGATAACATTTGTATTTGTTTGTTCTCACTATAATGTCCATCTGTACAAAATTTTGAATATGTGTAGCAGTGTAGCATTCTGGTAGCAGATGTGACTCTGTTAACAACTGATGTAGGAATGCACTCTGGTTTATTAATTGTAGAGATCACTTACAGTTGCACTATACAGCCACTGGAACATGATAACTTGAACCATCAGGTAAAGAACTGACTTCAAATTTTCTAACAGGGAGCCACACAAATGAGTCAAATGATATGTTGTGACTTAAATCACCCAACTAACATATTTCCTTGGAAGTCAGAGGAAGGACATGCAGAACAGTGATGTAACTTTGTTTATGTCAAGCCGTAATTTAAGCAGGATCCATTGTTGAGAACAGTTGATGCTCGTATTAATTGCCATCAAAGCTATGACAGCCCCCTAGTTTTGAATTCCCACTTGTTCCTGACAATGGGCTGCCATACGTAACTTTTGCCAGTGTTACCAGCTGAATGTGAGAATTATTTCACTCAATCATGCAACTCCATAACTGGTTAGAATTTTAACCAAGACAGTGATGTTGCAAGAAAGTGAGAGTTTATTTCATCACCACTACTGAAGTCAGAAGCTAGATTTGTGTGTAACTGAACTAAAAATATTTTTGTATACATTGCAACATCAGTTATGCTACATTGTTTTTATTTAAGACACATTAACTGATATTAAGATACAAAGACATAACATCAAGGCATTTTATGCCATATGGAGGGGTGAAAAGGCTTTGGTGCTAGCAGGAAACCAGCAGCCACAGTTGATAGTGCAAAGTCTTGTAGTCAAGTCAGATATGTATGTGTGTTTATTGTATCATTATTACAAGGAAATCCATATTCTGATCCAGTATCTCAATAATTGCATTTTTAAAGCAATAGAAATTTAAAATCATTACTAATTCAGTTCTCAGTTTGATGTGGGTTTTAAAAAACTTGCACATATAATACCTTCTGTTCTAGGAAAAGGAGTACTATTTGCTATGTAATGATAGATGTATAAATATGTTTATGCCTTAACTTGAGGCAGGAAGAGATATGTTAAGAGGTAAATCAAACTGGTTGGCACCTGTTTTGTACCAGTAATTTATTTATAGAAGTGGAGAAGATAGTTCATCATACTAAAACACAAAATAATATCAAAACATAATGTTCAAGTTGTGACTTATACTCTCTCATTATTAACAGCCAAAAACTATATAAAATCATGACTGCACCAACAGGCCCATGCTTAGATGTCAAGTGTGCCAACATTTGAAGAGGAATCTGGAAATTGTTGGCACTAACCCACCTAAGCATGGAATTCACAAAATAAGAGTAAAATCTAAGCCTCCTCTATATTTGTCACATATAATTTCTTCTGGATAAGACTATAATGCACTACATAACCATGGCTACTATGATTTGCACAAGGAGCAAACTTAGTTCTATGAACTAATATTATAGGAGAAATATAAGATTATTTAAGAACTATGTGGCTTTAATAATTTTAATGGTGCAATATCAATGTAGGCCAAGGTTTTATATGTTTCAATATAAATAGAATTAAAGTTATTTATGATATTATTTCAATATATTATCAGATAAAGCATGAATTGCAGATGAAATCCAAATGAATGTTTTGTGGCAAGAAAAAATATTCAGATTCCAAAGAATTGTCAGATTTTTTCTAGAAATATTTTAGAATCATAATTTATTTTCCAATTACATACCACAAAATACAACTTAAATTTCATGTGACATAACATGAACATTCTTGATGAAAGAATATGCACAGCTACAGAGAACATTAGAATCTCTGGATGCTGTGAGTGACTGAACTGTGAGCAGTAAGCATGCTCAGTATACTGGTCCAATGATTGTGTTCCTAGCAGCGTTAATTTCAAGTCTTGCTTGCATGAGTTTTGGATTACTCTACACACAGCAATTTTACTGTAGTTTGAAAATGAAGGACTTGATCTGGGGGGAAAGTGGTTTAATTTCCTAATATAAAGGGGGCTTTGATATATGTTTTACCATTTTTACTTATCTGTTAATTTATGTACCACTCATAACTCCACATTTCAGTGCTCATAAAATCCTTATAATATATTGCATTCAGAAGGAATGAGGGCTTATCCCTTTGTATTTGTAGAACAATTGCTAGGATGTGCCTTCTATGCAGCCAACATTGGTGTCATGTTATACAGTGTTTCAGCAGACTGATTCAAGTAAACTGTGAGAACAGGCGAGATTAATTTGAGAACTGATCAATTTGATAGTAGAATGATGAATGAAATAAAAAGTAGTCTTCATGTAGAATGTAGAGTTCCATTGAGAACATGCCCCCATCCCTTCTGGATATGAGAAACATTAAAATCCTTTTCCCTTTATTTATAAAATCTAGTATGTAAGTTTATATTTAATATTTTACTGTAATATAAGTTATTTTAATTTGCAACTTATCATATATGTCCATAAGACTGGTCTATTTTTAAGTAGCACTTTATGAATATTCTTTGTTCTTTGTAACAGAGCGAACATCATGTCTTCGTTTAAATTATAAATATAATGTTCACACGCCTTGAATTCTTAAATCAGTTTCTAATGCACATAATTTCTATACTATGTAAATTGAATAAATTCATATCATCAGAAGAATGTTTTATTTTTATATGTTCATATTAGAAAACCAATGCTGCCACAGTGTGTACACAATCTCTCAGGCATGTGATAAAATATGAATTAAATATTTCTTTACCATTGACTGGTTCTGCATTACTTTACAAAAGCCATAGGACTACAACTGCCATGATTTATTACATGTAGAATACAGAAAGTATTGTGCTGAAATATTTTAAAGTATGGTGAATTTTGATAAACCTGTCCAGTTGTTCATCCAAAAGATAAGCAAAATTATGCATTTTTGTAAGAGCATATGATAAAAAAAAAAGAATTTCATACTCTACTAGAGTTGTCTAAAAGTGCACCATTTACATGAAATATACATGCAAATTTGCAAAACATCTTCATATTTTGAATACAGCAGTTATTTTTGTGGAACATCAATAACTATTATTTTAATTCCATAATTATTTGTTTTATCTGCTGTGTAGGAGAAACATAACTGTCTGTTCTGATTAAATATACATGTTTACATAGCTCTATATTATTACATGGTGATATCAGTATACAAATTTATGTAAGATATTTGTGTATAGTTACAATATTAAGTGAATAACTAGATTCACATGTTTTCAGCCATCATGCCTTAAATACGAAGTGAGTGACAAAAGTAGTGTTTCTTGAAGAAGAAATGTTAAAGGGGATATGAGAGCAGTGTCAAATTTTGCTGGTAGTAATTATTTAGTTGATTGTAAAAATTCTATGAAGTTAAAACATGGCTGCAATTGGATGGATAATAATCAAGTAAGAAGAATTTATTAATTTTTATTTAAGTATTTAAAGACACAAGCAAGTACTATATGTCAGATTTATTTTAGGCTATTATATTTCAGCATCCTGTTACACTCACACAATATATATGGATAAATACCGTCTTAAGTGCAACAAATTTTATTGTAGTTTTTACTTCTTTTCCTCCTCCACACTACATGTTTCGGCCCTAAATGGCCATCATCAGGTGTGTATCACTCACGTAGCTGTTACACTGCTTGTTAAAATTTAAAATTACCAGTCTTTCTAATTGTATAAAATCTTTGTTAATCTACACGCGTCGATTTGATTTTTAAATTAGCACTTTTTAAAACTTAATTCAAGTTAAAATGTCTATAAGATCTCTGTTCTTTCTTTTTCAA